TTTTTGTATGGGAAAAAATAAAAAATAAACTAAAAAAGATGTCTGCCTTAGAACTCTGTTTCTCTTCTCTCAGCTTTGTTTTCCTTCGGTTGCCTTCAGTTTCTGGCTTTTTATCACCTTAAGGTGGCAACATGGCCGGCAGTGGCTCCAGGCTCCTAAGCCGCCAGCTCAGCAACCCCATTACTTCCTTCCCCAACAGTTTCAACAAAAGCTCCATGGATAAATTCCACTGGGCTGACTTGGGTCATGTGCTCATCCCTGAACCAATCACATGCTAGGTTGTTGGAACAGGTGATTTGCCGCGTCCAAGTCATATGTGTACATCTGGGCCTGGGGTCAGCTGCCCTGAATCACGTGGATTCAGATTGGCAGGGGTTGATTCTCCAAAATAAAATTGGTGTGCCCTTACTAGGTGAAAGAGGAATGGATATGGAAGATGGGCAGGCCCTAAAAAGTAGCTGTCTATGTTTGTTTACTGATTAGGAACATAGATAGGTAGAATAAAGACTTAATCTGTAAAATATGCCAACTATAAATAGTCATTTGTTGTAGATTCAATATTCATGTATATATAATATCCAGGTGGTTATAGACAGTTGAATAGAAAAGGTAATTATTTTCAATTTGCTTTTAGGTGATGGGGTAAAGAATTTAGCTTTACCCAAAGTAAGGTAGGTTTTGTCCTTGGTTCCTGAGAAATAAAACTCTTGGAATAATTGGGGTGCCTTGGTCTGGGACTTGCAGGCCACACCTGAGGATCTGTGCTGGTGAGTGGGGGCTGACCAGAGGCCAGACCGGAAAAGACTAACCTAGGAGGCCAACATCAGGTAGCCTCAGGAGGCATGATTTAGCCTATCATGCAGGACTGGCTGATAAAAAGCCTGGGACATGAAGACTTAGAGGGCTTCCTGGCTGGTGAAACACAGCCATGCATAGAAGAGAGTAGCACATCCTTTGGGACATGGAACTTCCATGTTGGGGACCTTCTAGAGCTCATCTGTGTGCCTCTTCCTCATGACGATCTTGATTTGCATCCTTCTGCTGTGATAAATCTGTAATCATAAGTACAGCACTCTCTGTGAGTTCTGTGAGTTGTTCCAGCAAATTCTTGAACCCAAAAGAGAAGGAGGAGCCAGAGGTGGAAGTGAGGGTGTCACGTGGACTCCTAAACCTGCATCTGATGTGTATATGTGAGAACTTCCCTAGCTCCAGGTGGTTAGGGTCAGAGAGAGAGTGTGTGCCATGAGGGCGGCTGGTGTCAAACATGTTTGAGAAGTGGGAAGGTGGGAACTGGATCAGTCTCCACATTATGGGATTGGATTCATGCTGACTGTTATCCACAAAGCTATTCACAAATCGGGAGACTTCATTAGTGGGGGGACAACGTGTTTCAAAGTGCTTTCCTTTTGCGTTCAGATGATGGTGTCTGACCTTCCTAAAATGCCTTAAGATAAACCAATTCAGTAAACAGCTACTCGTGCTCTGTTTCTTGCACTGGGTTGGGCATTGGGATACATGGTGCACGATGCAGATGGTGTCCCTGCCCTCTTGGAATCCGGTGAGAGCAGGTGAACTGTAAACAGGGAAACAGGCAGTTACACAAGAGGGTGACAACAGGTGAGTCCAGGAGACGAGGACAGTCAGGACAGCTTCCTGGCGGAAGTGAGGCCTGGAAAATGAACCAGTGCGACTTAGATAAGGGAAATGGGGCCAGAAGGAATGTTCCAGGCAGAGGGAACAGCAAGCAGTGCCTGCAGGAATGAACCATGACCGGGGCTGATGCAATGCCTGGAAAAAACGCAGAAGAATGGCCAAGTCTTGGAGGGGGGGACACGCGTGCAGCCCTTCCCCAGGGTTCTCAGGTGGCACCTGCTTCTCCTAGGGCTGACGGCATTTCCTAGGTGAATGCTCTCCTTCTCTTAAAAATCCCTTTGTCCTGCTTGTCCCCTTTCGCCCAGTCCTTGCCTTTTTCTCCCTGGTAGGTGAAGGGTGCCTGGTAGCCCCACCTGCTTCTATCCATCCCAGCTCTGAAGGCCACAGACCTGCTCACCTGAAAATTGGCAGTGACTCTACTTGCCCTGCCCCGTCCCCTCCCAGGGCCACCGTGAGTACATGTGTCACATGTGAGATAGCGCTCCACGAACTCTGAGTGCCAGTTCCCACGATACTTGATCCAAGGGTCCTTTGTTGTTGGGGTTAGGTGCCATCGAGTCAGTTCCAACTCACAGCGACCCTACAGGACAGAGTAAAACTGCCCCATAGGGTTTCCAAGGAGCAGCTGGTGGATTTGAAGTGCCGACCATTTGGTTAGCAGCCAAGGTCTTAACCATTATGCCACCAGGGCCCCAAATAATAGGGA